GGGCCTGGGGCCGGCCGAGCCACTGACCGGCTCTCTTGGCTCCGCAGCCCAAGGGTAAGGCGGGCACTAAGGGGAAGAAGCAGATCTTCGAGGAGAACCGGGAGACGCTGCGCTTCTACCTCCGCATCATCCTGGGGGCCTCCGTGAGTGCGGGCGGGGAGGGCCCCGGTGGGGCGCGGGGCAAGGCCGGGCCGGGCAGACAAGCCGTGCCGTGCTCTCTCCGCAGGCCGTCTACGCCGTGGTGAACCTGGTGATCTTCTACCCCGCTGCCTCCGCCTGGACGTGGGTGAGTGCCCGGCCCGCTGCCAGCAGGGCACCGTCTGCCCCGGCCAAGGGCGCCTGGGCCTGTCCGGGCGGAAAGTCGAGTCCTTCCCTGGTTACTGTGACAGTGCAAGAATGGCAGGCCCCTGCCCCTCTGCCCCGGGGGTCGTGGCTTTTCCCCATGACAGCTCTTTCCTTGTTGCAGGTAGCGTTCATCTTCAGCTCGGTGGTCTATGGCACCAGCTACCGGTCCATGAACTCCATGGCAAAGCCGTCTTTCACAGACGATGGCAGCCTTGCTGACGGGGGAATTGACCTGAATATGGAGCAGGGGATGGCAGAGTGAGTGTCCACACCTGCACGAGTCCAGGTGAGCAGGACCTGCTGCCTGAGCGTGCACGCAGAGCTAGGAGAACCCTTGAAGAAGGCCAGGCCTCCGCTCCCACCTCAGCTTGCCCAGTGGTGCAGGCATCAGGGGAGCTGGAAGCCTGTAGCCATTTTTTCTGAGAATGTACCAAACTGTCCTTGTTATCTGAGTCCTTGGCCTGGTGTGCACTAGTCGTGAGCCATTGTGTGGGTATGTCAGCCTGGAACGGTTGCTGTCCTTAGGGCTGAGGTGCACAAGATCCCAGATGGTTCAGCTGGAGCAGCTTACAGCTGTCTTTCATTGAAGAAACAGCACTGACACTGTGCACACTTCTACAACACACAGAGATATGTGTTTTCTTTTTAAACCAGAGCTGCACATAGTGCTTGACAGAGCAGAAGGGCACACACTGCCAGTTACCCTGTCCCAGCTGCAAGCTGGTTGTGTCTTGAACTGTTCTACACACTGAAAAACCTGTCTTAGCCAGCTCCTCTCACCTCCATAGCTTGTTCTGCCTCTTGTGCTTGTGCATTCCTCGTGTATGTCTGCAGACAGCACGAAGTGTTGGTCTGTCCAGTGTTCTTGGTGATGCTGTAACTTTTCCTCAGTCAAGGAACACACAACACTAATTCCTGCAAAGCGCTGATATGTAAAATATGGAGATGACAGTACTGAAGCAGCAGAAATATCTTCTAGGTGTGTTTTCTAACAGCGAGCCTCAAACTAGTTACAGAAGACTTCTGGGCAGTTGTTGACATGTTGGGCTTTGTTCTCTGTCCTCCTTACCCTCAGCCTCCATCTGCTGGTCCAGCTTTTGCTGGGGCTCTTCAGTATGTGCTCAGTGAGGTACCTGGGTACTTGGCCCCTTCCCCCTGCTGCCCTTGGCCAACAATTTAATCTTTCACTGGCCACCAGGCTTTTAAAACACAGCAGGGTCTTGTTTCTGGCAGAGCCCTCTGCATCATGTTAGCTGTTCATGTGCTAGAAGGGCTGTTTATTGATTTATATGTTTTTATTCTTCTTAACAAGTTTCATTTCTGCAGCCAGCAGGTGCTGGGGGATGTTACCAGCAGGCAGACCAACTTGTGTGGCACAGAATGCACAGGATGAGCTCTCATCTTGTGTGTTTGTTAGTGGAGTAGTAAATTTTCTACCTGTAGCCAGAGTGAGTCAGGTGTGCGGTGCAAAAGACTCAGCTGAGGGGCGAGGTGTCTGGGAAGAGAGGAAATTATATCTAGCATGATTTGGGAGCCTGGTGCTTTACACCTTGTTCATTCTGTAGTGACTTCTCTTTCCTGCTGGTCAGCTGAGTTTTTTTCTCTTGTTTTACACTGCTTTGGGTCTCCTGGGTAGAAGTGTAGAGTATTTTGAATACCTTTTTTTGTGAAACACAACATGGGACAGTTGAGTAAGGAAAATACAGAAGTTTGACGTTGTCTGGGGTATCCTCCTGGTTGTGAGAGATGCTCCTGGGAGATATGTGAGGCACTGAAGCAGCATGAGTGCCCCAATAACTGCCCTGTGCATGTGTGTGATGGCACAGTCAGGGGAAATGACTGACGGGTGTTAGCTCGGAGATCCCGTTACCTGCTGTGGAAAGGTGTCAGGCACAGTTGTAGCACTGCTGCAGTCCTAGTTGCAGACATTATCTTTCCCTTGGTACCAGGGCTCTCAGGCTTTTCTGACTGAGCAGCACCCTGTTGGGGTGAGTTTTATGACACATTAAAATTAATTGATGCTTGTCTGAAGTACCAGCTGTGCAAAACACCGAGGAGGCAGAGCTGTAAAAACAAAACCTGCACAGCTGAAGTTCCCATCCTTACTCTGTACGTTTATACCTGAGCCTGTGCAGAGCCCTCAGCCATGAGAGTGAAAGGCATTAGTTTAACCCCGGTGGTATGTGAAGATGAAGTGTTAACGAACACTGGGTGCTCCTCCCTCTGACTGTGTCTTTTTGTCAAGTGATGTGCTCTAAATTACCCCTCCGGGGATCGGGGCTCATTTACTTTCAGAATGCAGGGGATATTTTCCTGCCTCTTGGCTGAGCGTCCTGCAGTTGATTAATCCGTTTGCTCTTTTGGAGCCGCTTCTGGAACAGTGTGGATTTGCCAGCGTTGCCCTCGTGCTGTCTGTAACTGAAACAGATGCTGTGTGTTGCTTTGGGATTGAGGAAGGCTGATGATCCTCCTGGTCTCTGGGAGAGCTGGGTTCGGTGGGAGCTCCGCCATGTCCCTTCTGTGGCTGCTGGTGATGCACAAGATTTCTGAACCTCAGTGTCTTGTCATGGAGCTGGTGGTGGTGGATTCTGTAGTGTCTTGTGCTGAAGATGGTCTCCCAGCCTACACCAGTTGTTTTTGGTTGCTTTGCTTTGCACTGTGCTGCCCAGAATGAGAAGAGCTATTTCTTTACCTTTGCCTTTGTTTTCTTGACTCCATTCCTGTATGTGATTCGAGTAGTTTTCACTCCAGGAGATGATGATTTCATGGAGTGAAGGAGTTGGCTTTTTTTCTAACCCATCATGGCACTCCCTGTGGCTTGTGTTGAAAAACCAGTACCTGTTTACCTCTCCTGGGTGGGTGGTGGCTGAGGCTGTGGGCTGTTTGTTCCCCTCCACAGCTGCTCTCAGCTCTGCCTCGGGCTGGAGCAGAAGACCCTGGAGGCAGATAAGCGGGAGGGGAGGGGGAGCCATCTGCTGCTGTAGCTCAGCTTGTGGGCTTGTCCTTGGGGTACCCCAGCCTTTTGGTGACCCTGAGTGTGTCTGTCGGCCTGTGAAATGGCACAAGGGAGATTCCCTTTAGCACAGCCAGCCGTGAGCAGCTACTTTATGCCATGATATGTGTTAAATCCAGTGGGTGCTGGATGCTGTTGCAGGCTGCAGGGGTGGTGGTTTTGCTGCTGATTTCCACCCCCCTCTGCATTCCTCAGCTTTCTCAATGTCCCTTTTCAGAGGGAGCCTAGCTCTAACTCATCAGACTTTTGTTTACTGCTCTGATTCTTCTAGATGACAGTGTGTGGCCAAGCATAGCTGCAGGGACAGTCCTTCCGTTGGGGCAGGCAGGGTCGCTCCCCAGAGGTGGTGCAGATGGGCTGCGATGGCAGAGGAGCTGGTGTGTTTGGCTGGGGCTGGAATGGAAGGTTAATGATTTGCTTTTCTTCCCTCAGGCACCTCAAGGATGTGATCCTGCTGACAGCTATAGTCCAAGTGCTGAGCTGCTTCTCGCTCTACGTCTGGTACTTCTGGCTCTTGGTATGTAACTTCTGTCTTCTTGTTGCTCTACATTGTCTTCAGGGCCAAGGACATTATTTATCTATTTCATTTCATGGTGTCCTGTTTCAGGCCAAAGCTATTTGCTGATAAATTTTTTAATCTCCCTGTCAAAACTCGTTAAAAATAAGGCTGTACAAGGGAAAGAAGTCCCTTTGAGTCAACCATGCAAAAACTAGGCTGGCCTTGGCCTTTCTCTCTGGTCCTGTGAAAGGGCAACAAGAAGCATGAGGCAGATCAAAGCCATCTTTGTGCATAGAGGCTTTTTGTGACTGTGACAGCCTGTGCTGCTGCTTGTTTGGTTTTCTCTGTCATTCACCAGCACGGACTGAGGCTGGGAACTGCTGGACACTGTGCCCCTTGGTAGATGAAATGCTGTAGGCTTTGATTTCCCCTTAACACATCAGACTCTTTCTACTCCCGAAACATTTGTCATGTGCCTCCAGCTAAGACTTCTTCTGCAGAAGGACAAAGAATCTCCAGTTAGTTAAAAAAAATCCCACAGTTGCTTTGAGTATATCCCAAAAAGGTATATGAGGCAATCTTGGGAGCATAGAAAGTCATCTCATGTCAGTCCTTGCTCACATGTTCTAGCTGGCCTGGCAGAGGGAAGTCTAGACTCTGACTATTCCTTGGAGACCATCTGGATCACTTTTTTTTTTTTTTTTTTTTTTTTAAATCCAAAGAAATACGAGTGTGTTTTTTGAAGGAGGGAGAGGCAGAATGTCTGGGCAGTTGGATATTTCTGGCTAATTCAGAACCAATGCTGAGATTTCCATATATGAAGCATAAGTGCTGCATACGTATGCAAATTCCTCAACCATATGAAATCAGGCCATTTATTTTGGACGCCTGCCACTGCCTTTGATTTCCGTGCATCCTGTGATGCCCCTGACCCAGCCTGTAGAGATATTGCAGCTCCTTTGACTTCCACAGTAGGACCAGCCCTGCCTAGAGCTGACCCCTGAGTGCTGGAGTTGTGTTTTTCAGGCTCCGGGGCGCGCTCTCTACCTCCTCTGGGTGAACATCCTGGGCCCCTGGTTTACAGCTGACTCTTCACCTGCCGGTCAGGAACCAAATGAGAAGAAGCAACGCCGACAAGAACGCCGCCAGATGAAGCGCTTCTAGCCCTGGCTGGGGAGATAGATGAATGCTGTTTCTCATCTCCATGCTGTTATTTCATCAGGGAAGCAATCAAAACCATCACAGTAGCTATGTTACCCTCTGTCATTGCTACCATTCTGCTAGAAAGGCTGCAAGAGACTTCCCTTGGTTAGCTCTTACTGCCAGTCGAGGCCTTGCTCCTTGGGATGACAAGGAGGGGATGATGCTGGGATGTGTGTAAATACCTTTTTAAAGCAGGGGCTGTATCGCATCTTAGGTCAGGGATTGCAATGTTGGAGGAAACAGTACATTAAAGAGCAGAGTCGAATTCACTGTGTTAGCAGTGTGTTTATACAAGGGTGTTTGTAGAGGGGTGCTCTTAAAAACGCCCAGAGGAAAGCAAAAATCCTCCAAGACAAGTGGTCTCATCCTTTTCCAAGCTGTGCTGCCCTGCCTGCTGCAGCTGCCCTGTGAGAGCAGGAACGTGGGCAGCTGGGGGTGAACTGGGCTTGGGGCCAAGCTCGGAGCTTTTGAGATTGAGCCTGGGCTCTCTGGAGCAAGGAATTGGCCTGTGCTACCTTTGGGGGAGCTCAGCAGCATGAAAGGCAGCAAGCAGCTAAAACCAAATCTGTGGGGTTTGTTTGTTTAAAAAAAAAAGGGCTCTCTCAGGGGTGGCACAGCTGGAATGCTACAACTGCTGCAGAGACCATGTGTTAAGAGACCAGGAACAGCCCAGAGCAGCTTCTGCTTTTGCCTACTTTGATTTATTAACATTGGCCCTGCCCAGTGTGTTGTTTTACACTCCAGTGACCCCTTCCAGCCCCTGACGCACCAGCTCAGAGCTTTGCCTGTGCAAGTGAGATGCAGGGTCAGTGTTCGTAGGGGTGCCAGCCTGGCTTTTGCTGCTATCCACAACCTTTTGCCCACATGTTGTTTCCATTACATCATTTTTATTACACGCTTTTTCCTTACATCAAGCCTGATTCCCACCTCAAATCCTCCTGTGCCTCAGAGCCAGGCAGAGTGGCTGTAGTTGGGGTGCAGAGCAACAGGTAATTGCAGGCAAATATCTACCGGAGGGGGGAGAGTAGAGATTGGTATTTGGTCCTTCCTGCTGCTGGTGGGGGGCATGAGGGAAGGAAGTCGGAGCAGGAAATGCATGCACAGGGTGACTGGTGGGTATGAGCCAGCCCTTACTCCCTGCCAGGGCTGCCAGGCACAGCCCAGAGCCCCCAGCCCTGTCTGCAGGCCCTGAGTAGGTGCCCCTGCTCTGCGAGCACCCCCTGGTAACCCCAAGGCCATCCCCCCCCCCTCCTTGCAACTACCCCAGCACAGCTTCCTGCACCTCTGGGGGACCAGCACATCTCCCCAGCTCTGCCCTTGCTGCCTCTGAACCCTCTTCTCCAGCTCCCCAAAGCCACGCGGAGCCACACAGCCATCCCCAGAACACACAGGGGACGGTGCGGGGGGGCAAACACATCAACACTAACCACACCGGCCCTCTGGGCCACGCTACCCTACACAGCGGTACATGCACAGTGGCCACCCGGGCATGGGGGGAGGCCCAGGCTCTGCCCCCTCCTCCAGGCTCCAGCCTCAATAAATATCCAATAAATGGCACCAGTTACAACCTTGGGACACTGGGTTGGGGGTGGGGGGGGTGGGGAGGGTGGATGCCCCTCAGTCAGGCAGCAGCTGCTCCAGCTCCTCCTCGTTCAGGCCATTGGTGGTGACGATGTGGTCCAGCTGCTTCATGTATCGCTCCAGGTCCTGCATGAAATGGGGGATTCGGGCTTTCTCCAGGACCCCAAATTTCTTCAGCCGATTCACGTCTTCATAGGAGACCTGATGGGAAGCAGGGAGATGGGGTCAGCCCCCTCCCCCCATCCCAAACCATGGCAGAGGGTGTCTGCACCCCTGCAGCACACCTGGGTCCCCTCTCCACTGCCCAAACACTCGTCCTGCCTGGGGGGAGCCACCAGCAGAGCTGCCTGGGGGTGATTTTGGTCTTTTTTTTTGCCACTGCAGGAGCGCTGTGGCCGAAGCAGAGGGCCAGCAGCATGGCCAGCAGCCCAGGGTTAAGCTTCTCTGCAAAGGTCTCCTACGGAGGAGCAAGGACTCTCCCGTCCTCCCCTGCATCCTACCCAGCACGGCCTCTCCTTGCCCCACCGAGACCCGTAAGTGCAGGGAAATGCCAAGAGCTGTCGGGCTGCCACAACAGGCGTTGGAATGGGCTGCCCAGGGCAGGGGGGGGAGTCCCCATCCCTGGAGGGGTTGCAGAGTCGGGCTGACCCAGCACTGAGGGATCTGGTGGAGTTGGGAACGGTCAGGGTGAGGTTCATGGTTGGACTGGAGGAGCTTCAAGGGCTTTTCCAACCAAGACGATTCTGTGATTCTGTGACCAGGGGAGCTTTTGGAGGGGATGAGGCTCAGGGATCACCCACCCCCCACACCCAGCCATTACCTTTCCAAGCGCAGCCAGCAGTGGGAAGTCGATGGTCTGCCGATGGCGCAGGATGCGGAGAATCCCATCCAGGTAAACCTGGTCCTTACTGAAACACCCTGGAAGAGCAGGAGAGGCCGGTGAGCAGGAGCCTGGCTCCTCACCACCCTCTGCTCGCCCGAATGTCTGCCAACTGCGATAACCAGAGCGATGGTGCTGGACTGGGGTGACACGAGCATGCCAGGGCTCAGGCGCTGCTGAAGCCACAGCCAGGAGCACTGGGCCCCAAAGAAAGAGCGACCTGAATGCTGGGGAGCAGTGCTGGGAACAGCAGCTGGCAGCCGGGTGCAGCAAGAGTCCCAGGCACAGGGGTGACAAACATCTCACCAGGATGCTTTTACCCTTCTTCTCAGTGTTTTTTTTTTTTAATGGTAAACCACTGCAAGAATCTAAAGACATCCCCAGAAATACTAGTTTTTTTCCTCTCCTTTGGCTGCTGCCAATGTGCGAGTCATTCCCATGGGACTGCAGTCATGTTATGGGGCTCCTGGCGAGGTGCCCATCCATCCCCACCTGACCTGGAGCAGCCCAAGCGCTGATGTGCCAGGACTGCGTGTAAAAAAAAGAAAACCAACAAAAACCACCAAAAAACCCCCACAAAACATAAACCCATAGGAGAGTGATGCCAGGCATGGGGAGGGATGCAGTGTGGCACAGAGGCACCATCTCAAAGGCTGCCACGGCCACAGGGCTAGTAACGCTCAACCCACCCAGCAGCAAAACACATCTGCCCACCTGTTTGGTTTTTTTTTAAAAAAAGAATAAAATCCTTTCCAAAACCTGAAGGCTTTTCAGTACCTGGCTGCGAGGTGTCGGTCTGGCCCCGCTTGGCCCGCACGCAGTATTCCCACCGGACGCCGGCGTCCTGGACATACTGCTCCAGGTCCTGGAAGAGGGCGGAGAAGGAGAGGCGGCTGGCTCGCTCGATGGTGTAGTAGAGCAGGGCTGCCCGCCACAGGAAGGGCTGCTTGCGGAAGAGGACGCTGTGCAGGCTGGCCAAGCCTTCCTCCGTGGGGTTGGCGGGCTTCAGGCTGTACTGCTTGCGGCCCTCGGAGCTGTGCCAGGGCTGGCGGGTGTTGTTCACCCCCCGGATGTAGTGGGTGCCTGGGGAGGGGGGACGGGAGCAAATGCCGTCGGCCACAGCCTCCAAAAAGCTCGACCCCTGGCCCCCCCCGAGTCGCTGGGGTTGGGGCTGAGACCCAGCACCCATGGGTGCCAACTCCAGTCTTGGCTGGAGATGCTGCCGTGGGACATCTGCTTGCTCTGGTGCCCAGGGCAAGGGGCAGACATGTTACTGATTGTTACTGATTTGTTATTAATTTGAGTTGATGATTCTTGGAGATTTTGATAAGGAATGATTACGACCAATCAATTAAATGGAATCTCTCAAAAATATTGATTTATGTTGTGTTTAGTTTAAAGTAACCACACAACCAGTTACTCTGCTAGACAAGGTACCATTGTTACACTGTTTAGTAAGGATGAGTTATAGGCCTGGAGACCAGGTATTTAAAAAGTTGTATTGTGAAAGGGCCTTGAAATGTGTTAAAATTGCAATGTGAGCTAAAGTCCTTGAGTCAAGATCACTAGTCCATGGTGGTTGCAAAAGCAGCCCTCAACTCATTTCAGGGCTCAAGTGCGCGTGACCAGGAAGAGGCGGGAATATGAAAAGGAGTTACAGGTATTATGTTTATGTATGAGAACTTGATTAATATGTATGACTGTGTCCAATATAATCAGCCTGTTACACCAGTCAGGTGTGCACTGCTGGTGAGACGACTCCCCTGTGCCCCTGGCCGCTAATAAAGGAGTGTCTGTTATCTACATCCCATTGGTGACGGTAAGTTCTTTTATCCTGTTTTGGGTGGGTGCCCAACACCCCCTGCCCCACATGCAGAGAGGGCCTCAGCCCCTCCTGAGACCTGCCCAGGGGCACCCTCCCAGGATGCCTCCGTCAGGACCTGCTGAGTGTCCCCTGGCCCAGTGGTCCCCACAGCTCCCAGGCCGTTACCCCAGTGACAGCCCACAGCACTCCCCCACCTCTGCCCGTCACCCACAGCCCCCCCGCACTGACCTATCTCGTGGCGCAGCATCCCCTCCAGCCAGTGCTGCCGGGCTCCGGCCAGGTTGATGGCCAGCGTCGGCCGGCTGTCCTCCACCATCATCACTGCCTGGGACAGCAGGTCGTCGGTGAGCTGCACCACCACCTGCAGAGGAAGAAGAAGGAGGCAGCTGCCATCAGCACTGCTGCGGGAAGAGATGCTCAGAGGGCTCTTGGCTCTAAGCAGAGGCTGCGATGGTGGCAGAGGGCCACAAAAAGCCACCGACACCACGAGTGGCAGAGTCCAGCCCTGCTGCATCATCACCAGCTTGTGTTGCAGCTCCCCAAAGAAACCACAGACAGCAGGAGCAGGCAGGGAGGGAGCAGGCAGGGAGGGTGCTGCCAGCACTGAGGGGGTGCCAAGGGGAAAGAGATGATCCCACTGGGGGATAAAATAACTCCTTTAATGTCTTTACAGCCAGTAAAACCTGAGTGGGCACATCCTGGGCAGCCTCCTCCAGCATCTCTCTGGCTCCAGCACTGCGCCCCGCCGCCACCCCCAGCTCATTCCCATGGGCTCCTCACAATTTTATGGCCACACACGATGGGCATCCTCCAGAGACCTGCCTGGTCCCGCTCCTGCATCCCCACTAGCGATGGGATGGCACAGTAAATTTGGTCACCAAAACAACCCTGCTCTGAACAACCACCCTCTATGACTCCCCAGTAAACATCCCACGAGGGAATCAAGGCTCTGGCTCCATTTTCATGGACACTCGTGCGGATGTCCCTTTTAAGGCTCAAAGACACGAGCAGTGAGGATGGATCCATGCCAGCCCATAGTTCACAGCAGGGACAGGCAAAGCATGCACAGGACTAGTGAATATCTTTAAAAAACTCAGCTATTTTGGGAAATCTGGATATTGCAAGCACTAGTTCCAAGACAGCTGCTCTACATTAACATGAGTTAACGTGCCATCCAAGCATCATTTTCTGACCATCCAGACCTGCAGCAACTCGAAGCTGCAGCATCACCAGAGGAGAGAGCCCCAGGAATTCTTGCATCCGAGTTTCAGCCGTGACAATGCTCAGGACCTTCGGGCATGTACCAATTTAATCTCAAAACCATTCTGCCACATCCATACTAACTCTAAAAAAAAATCTATTATTTCACAGCTGACACTTTTCAGGATGAAAATGTGCACACATGTTACTACATGACAACTCTCTTATTTTAAAAAAAGGAGAGGAGTCTGAATGGGTTTGCTTTAACTCAGATTTATTATTGTGCAAAGTTACTCATGAAAGCCAGAAGTGCAACATAACAGAGCAGTCTACCAGTGGACAAACAGACAGCATAAAATACTTATGGTGCAATTGCTTACCTGGATTAAAATATACCAGTCTGTGCATCCTTGAGCCTTATTTCTGCTCCAGTAAGCAAGTCAAAATAAGTAAGGGTTGCAGTTTCGGCTGCCCTCTACCACGTCCAGCCACAAAACCTTGATCAGCTGGGACAAACTGAGGCAGGGAACTGATCCGGACTAAAATTGATTTTATGCTCTAAGTTTGTTTCCAGGAAGATCATCATCCTTGGCCACATGAGCTCCCACAGGGAGCTCCTGGCAGGGAGATTTTTGACAGCAGCACCAGCTTCTGCCAACAGCCCTGACTGGAGTGACTACAGGCAGGGAAGGTTACAGCTTCACCGCAAGCAGGAATAAGGAGGCACGAATGAGCCACATTTTGGTATGATTTTAAGCAGTTCTCATCTCTTAGGTCAGCTCTGTGTGATGGGAATAAAGCCTGGACATCTGACATAGCAATCCCAAATGCAACTAGCAGAGGCTGAAATCCTGGGATGTGGGAGGGGAAGAGGAGAGCCAGGGGACAGAGTTTAAACCAAAAGAATGATGTGGAATACATTTCATAGTTGCAGCACTTTTCCTGCTCCCTCGGAAATGCTGCAGCACAGAACTGGTGCCCTGGAACCTGTGACAGTCCCTGGTCCCTGGGTCTTTGCTGCCTAACCTGCAGCTCTTGCAGAGAGAGCTGGAGATGATGCAGTGTGCCAGCCAGAGCTCAAACACCAGGATACAGGATGCTTGGCTGCCTGGGAGTGGTCCACAAGGCCAGGTCCACAACTTGCTGTCTTGTCATGCTTCACTGCCCCTATACAGGGAAAAAAAATAAACCCCAAGGAGGTTGGAATTTAAGATACTAGATGCAGAAAAACTAAGCTCTTCCCTAGGATATATGCTCATTTTTACACCTGCTTTCCCCCAACCTATTAAAAATAAATACCACCCCCCCAGAGCTCCTCCTCTCTGCTTTTTTCCATTTTCCAGTTGCTCATTCTTGGCCACTTTTTGCTGGATTCTTCCAGGCACCATCCCCTGGCGACAGGGATTCAGCAGCTCCAGGTGCCCAGTACCAGCAGGACCTGCTGTGGTGGGGTCAGCCCCGCTGGTGGGTTTTGGGAGGCTGGTGTTCACTTGGCAGCCCCCCAACAGTTCAAGTTTCCCTCATGCAATTTCAAAAGCCAGAAAACAGTCAGAGCACCCACACAAGTGAAATATTGCATAAACCCAGGAGTTTAAATATACTGAGTGTTACAAGGATAAATGATCCACACAACTCATCTCTGCTGTTCTGGTGACCTCCAGCTCTCCCTTCCCATCTGCACTGGCACCTTAATTCCCACTTCTTTTATTATAACCCTAATATCTGTCCATCACTTGTCCATGGCTTTTACCTCTGTTGTACTGGAATGCCATTTTCTCGCATCCTACACTGCATCTTCCCTGTGTTACCCAGGCCAGCACCCAAGCACCCTGCCAGGACTGTGCTTGTCTAAAGTAGAGATACTCCCCTCATTAATAAGTATTAAGCAACATTTGCAACAGAGTTCTCTGGCTTTAGAAGAGCTGATTTTTATATTATTGGGGGGGGACACATGACATGGGGGGAGACGGGACGCGACACGACTACTTTATGCTGTCAACGGTCACCAGGCTGGGCATTCCTATCTTGTGATGGCACAGGGTTCCAGTGCTGAAGCCACAGCATCAATGATCTGCTCACACAACTCAACGTCAGCACCAGATGAGCCTAGCTGAGTTCTGCAAAGGCAAGTGCTGTCCCTCAACCTTCAGTATTGTGCCTGAACAGGACGTAGGCTGAATAGTCCAAAATAAATTTTCTTCCTTTTTCTTTCCCAATCTGATATCACCATGCACAAAGTGAGCCAAGAGAAACGCAGCAAACGGCTGGAAATAAGAGGCATCCATGGATGCTGAGGATGTGATGCTCAGCACTGAAACCAGGTTTTGCATGAGCCCTTTTTAGGCAAGGCAGCAAGAGCTGAAATGAAGACTGAAGCATTCCCTGGAATATTGCATCTGGAGAAAGAGCCAACAGCACAGAATTCAGCTTGCAATAATCTGGGACACTGCCGGAGGCTGAGCACAGAGGGAAGGGTGTAGCTGAAGCAAGTGGTGTGTGTTTTCAGTAATCAAGGAAAACTCCACACAAAAACATTGAAAGCTTTTAGAGGAAGAATTGAAGTCAGAGGAAAAATTGCTGTTTTTCTTTTTTCTCTCTAATGGTGAGGAAAAGGTAAAGGCAAAACAGAAACAGCAACACTCAATTACATGGAATGCAAACTATCTTTCCCTGTACAAGAGGTCAGCAAGCATCAAGCGAAGTGATTAGGAAGCAGATTCAGGATGAGGAAGAATCAACGAACAGTGCAACTCACTGCATGAGGTTTGCGACAGTTCATGATCAAATAAGCAAATTAATGGCAGGGATTTTGCAGGCAGAAACATCCCCTGACTCAGGAAGACACAGGGCTGCTGTGTTCTGGAAAGAAATTCCCTATCCCTGTTCTAAGGATCCTGGGACAGAGCTGGGCAAGGGAATGAGGGATGGAAAGGGACTGATCCAGGCGCTGGGAAAGAGGATTAGACACTGCTTGGAGAGGCTGAGAGCTCCTGCAGCCACGGGTACAGCCGCAGGTTGCAGTCCCCCCAGGAGAGCCAAAGATATGAATGCACCCAGGGGCCACCATGGTGAGAAGATGACGGGCACAACCCCATGATGTCATTCTTCAGATGTCACTCTGATGACTTCTTAGAGGAATTGGCCTGGGTTATTTGATTTTTTCCCCCCCCTTATTTGATAATGTGGTGATACAGTGTTGTTTTGTCATATTAAACAGAGGTGCCAAGAAGGGCCTTGTGCCAAGCCAGCCGTCTAGGAGTGATGGGAAGGGACCCGCAGCATCACTAGAGACTGCAGCGTCACACACTCCCGCTAAGCTGCCCACAGCCCTTCTCCAGCTGCAGCAGCCCATCCACCTGCTGAGCAGCACCACTTGCCTTATTCTGGGACTCTCCAGCTTTGCAGATGCTGTTACAACAGGGGCTGCGACCTCAGCCCAAGCCTTATTCCTGGAGCAACGCCAGCTCTCCAGGTCTGCGACCTCTCTTGTTCCGAGCAGGATCCCCAGCGCATCCTCGTGGTCTGTGAAGCTTCTGCTCAGCTTTTGTGGATGTAATGGAGAAAGCTTGACCCCAAGAACCAAGGGAAAGCTGCTGATGGCCCCCATGGCACCAGGGCATGGGCTCCTGCCTCTCCCCAGCATCCCAGCACTGCTCAGGACCTCACATGCCAAGAAAGCACCAGCACTAAGCAGCTCAGAGGTGGAGGGGCATGACCGGTGGGATCCCAGGAGATGCTAGCTAGTGCTATTTAGGCTAACAGCATTTCACAACCCCAGGGGATGCAGCACTTACCAACAGGGCCAGGCGTTTCTCTGCTGCAAGCTGGGAGCTCACCGAAATCCATGTGGAGACATCCGAGCTCCAGCAGTGTTACCTTCGGCCCTGAGCCAGAAGAAAAGCAGAATTGCTTCAGGATCTGCAGCTCAGACCCCAACAAAGAAGCTTTTGAAGACAGAAAGTTAATTACAGTGCAAATACTTACCCACAAGCATGCTGCCTGCAGTGCCGGAAAGAGGGATCCTGCCTTCGCCGATCGGCTCTGGGGACAAAGGGCAGCTTTCTGCAGCCACTGCCACCAGCCTGGCCAGACTGTGCCAGGACTGCCTGCAGGCAGCGCAGGCAGCTGACACATCAGCTGGTTGGTCTCTGGGCTAATGCAACCCCCTGCAGTAGAGTCTTTTGGTTTTGTTTTGGTTTTTGTTGGGTTTTTTTTCTTTGAAGAAGAAAGCCATCACAATTAGTATGTATCACAGAAGCAAATGGCATGGCAGCACAGACGGGGCACAGCAGGTGGAAGTCAGGAATTACAGAATGACAGAGGGAGATACACGTCTGAAACAGCCGGGTTCCCCAACAGGGTGTTAAGTTACCAGCGACACAGAAGTTTCAGCCAAGTTTTTGCCCTGTACAGGGAGTGAGCTCTGCCAGCATCACTGTATCGAGAGCAAATGTAACCCTTCCCTCCTCCCTGCCCCAGAGAAATTCAGCAAAATTTGTAATGGGTGGGAATTAACAAACTAATGCTTTAATGGTTTTAAAAGCACTTATCAAAAGTTTCAGATAAAAGGGCCGCATATCTCGCACGCCAATGTGCAAACATAACTACTGAACCCTGTGTTCCCTTGAGCAAAGGGAAAATTACACAGGGCTGGAAGGAAGCCAGTTGTACACCAATATGTAAGAAAAAAGATGGCTTTCCGCCCAGCCAGAGCTTGTTTCAGGCTAGATTAATGGAGAAGAGCAAAATAGGTGAATTCAATCAGTTAATAAAAATCAAGAGATAGACCACAACTAGCAAGCCATAAGCATAGGTCTGTAAGTAAGACTGGCCAGCTGCTAGCCTGGGTATTGGGCATGGTTCTGGGTACTAAAAGGCAGCTGAACAGGAATATAAGAGATCTGCAGAGACCTTTTCCATCCCAAGAAAAGGCTTAGGAGGACCAAGGTGCCAGGACACATCCAGGAGGGATCAGGGCAAACCAAGGGGACTGGAGGAGGAACATCCCCTGGCCAGGTGACACCACAGGGAACTGCTCAGTCCTGCTTTTGCAGGCAGGAAACGTGCTGAATACCACCGAGCAAGTTGATGCTTCAGGGAAATGCTCGTGAATAACCCTGTTTGTAGACAGAGGTCAAAAATCAGAGCTAGGAGAGACAGTCTGGCCAAGAGGCAGCAGTGAGGAAGCCCCTCACACCAGCCAGCACTGCATGGCCTTCTGCCCTGCAGTCAACAAAGGCAGTCCTCTGAGAAAAAAAGATTTCTGGGCCTGGCTTAATTGTTTCTCAGCACTTGAACGCAGGATGGTGGAAGTGTTTTGCCCACACCTTGCTGGCAGAAGAGGAAAGAAAGCCCCTTAACCGAAGCTGCAGGACATCCTACACTGGATGCTGCTGGGGGCACAGACAAACCAGATTAAGAGATGATGAACTTGCTCCTGCCTCCATCCTGCATGGCTACTGTTCAGTCTTAACCACATATTTCCAAGCCTTAAAACCTGAGCTTGTGGTTTCAAAGCGCTGTAACCTGGCACATCCCACAGGACAGCAGGAAATCTCCCAGTTTTGCTTTTGGATATGTGAATGAAGGCAGCTGCCGGAGATGTCTGCCATACCACTGCTAACAGCAAGGGATGACTTCCCAACGGTAACTGATGCCTCATGCATGCAGCAAAAGGCACAGCCATGCAGAAAAGCAGCAGCTCCTCTCTCTCTCTCAAGCATAAAAGGGAAAGAAAAGATCATGAAAACTGGTTGGGGAACCAGCACCCACATCCTAATGCTGGGTACAGCAAACACAGCCAAGCTAGAGATGAAAGGACTCCACAGATCAGAGTAGAAAAGTTTCTTCTTTGTACCCAAAACACTCCTTAATCTGAGTCCTTTTTATCAGAAAATACGTATTTTGCAGCTATATCACTTCTAACAAGTGATAATGCAGGGACACAGATTACCTCTCCCAGGCAGCCTTCCTTCTGCATGTACTTTCGGATCACGGACCAGATCTGGCACTTGCTCAGCAGCCTCCCACCCGTGGCAACTTCGAAGCTCTCGTAGGTCCCGTACTTCTCCAGGACAGCACGAATGATCCTGATAGCCTGTCACACACAGAAATGAAATATCAGGGCAAACACCCTCCTCACTTATAAACACATCTTAAAAATCTCACATGCAGTAAAACCCAGCAGAGATAATCCCTGATAATTGCCTATAAAGCGAGACGTGGTTTTGCAATACCTAAAAAACTGAGGAGACTGAGCCAGCTGGAGGTGGTCACCAAGACAGATGGACACATAATACAATCAGCGTGACCCACAGTATATTCTTTCTGATTTTTATCACCCTTGCAAGCATCTGTTGTGGGAACTGGGCAAAGCAGAAGTGAAACAGCATCATCACCCCATGCTGCCTCTGGAATTTAAAGCTGTGATTATTTTCATCTTTTCTGCTTTCGGTTCTCCTTTCAAACTCTAGTGCTTGCACAGAGAGGTCTAGCTTATCATCTTGCTTCTTTACTCTGAGAGTTTCTTACTGCAGTGCTGGATTGCCAGCCTGGCTGTAAGGCTGGGCATCTCCCTTTGCAGCGATGTCACTTCCTCTTCAGCCAGGGCCTCAGCACAACCAGCCTGCTGCACACCAACAGCCTGCTAATAAAAGCAGCACGTGCTATTTTATTAGCATTAACATTTATGGAGCATCTATAAAATACAAGCAATTATTAGCACATTTCCTTCCCCAAAAGTGAGTTTTCACTGTAGACATTTTCAAGCAATGACTTTCTCCAGCCTATTAATATATATTCTAAAGCAGATGATGATGACTTTGAACCAGTTCTGGAGTTTTTCCAGCAGTTTCATTGCGTCTGTAAACCTGGCTGAGCTGCTGCCGAGCTTCCCAGCCCAGGACCAAGTACTACTGCTCCTGAAGGGTGAGTGTTTCACCTCCTCCTGCTGAGCAAACCCCCTTTGCTACCGTCCAGGCTCCGGGCAGCAGCTGGAGCCCTGCAGAGGAGGCCCCATCCCCTCCCTCAGCCTAAGGCCACCCAGGAGCAGGAGATGGGTGCTCACCACCAGTATCAGCGCTCAAACCACCCGACACCCTGCAGAGGGGCTGTGTGGTCTGTGTCTGGTAAGCACGCTCCCTTACCCCAGCAGAAGGTCCTGATTTTTCCATCCCAAAGTTTTCTCTGTACAGCTGTTTTTTATTCTTGAGTCACTTATTGTCCCTTTCCAGGAGAAGTTGTGCAGGGTTTTTTGTGTTGTTGAGTTTTGGGGTCGGGTTTTTTTGGGGGGTGGGTGGGTGTTGTTTGCTGAAGGATCAGGATTGTTCTTGCAGTGCCGCAAGGTACCTCCTGCTGACAGCAGCAGCAGCAGGACCATTTCTTTCTACCACCTCTGCTCATCCACCTGCTTTCTGCTCCCAGGGGACCTAAAGCACCGAGCAGAGAGAAACCCAGCACAGCTGGTGCCCAGGCGTAAGACAACCAACAGGCACAACTCCCTGCTGACCTCCAGCACATGTCCCTGCCAGAAAAATTCCTTAAATACCAAGTTTAGTGTTCTGAGAGGCTGTTGAACATCCCCAGGCAGCCTGAAATCATGCACCTACCAGATGCAGTGGGATAACAAATCCTCCAGCCCCAGCTCCATGCTGGTGCTGCTCACACTCCCATGACAAACGAGGGATGTAATCTTCAGAGTGATGAGCCTCCACGGGGCTAGAAGAATCCTTCCGGTTTATTTAAATTTTCTATTAAAAAAATAAAATAAACCCATCCAGCATGCGCAGAGCAGCTGGTGGAGCAGCAAGCTGGAAGCAGGGAGCTGGTGTTGGTTTGTTTACTCTTGTCCAAGGATGCTGGCTTAGCAAAATGTCTTGTTTATTTAACTTCATGATAAATGCAAATTTTTAAAATAAAAGCAGTTTACAACTAATAGTTAGCTGGTAATGAAAAAGATCTCCCAAAATGAAAGAGACTAGAAGGAGGTTGCTGCAGGGTATGAGCAAAGGAACAGTGATACAAACACCATCTGATCACACCATCACCAGAAAGCTTGGAGAAACATTGGTAGAAATGTTCAACACTTAGTATCTCTTGCAAAGGATTTTAAGATTCAGGATGAGACCATTCACGCTGGTTATGAACACTTAATTTCATTCATTCAAAGTAATGCACAGGGCAAAATAATCTCCATTACTAATCTTTTACTACATTGTAAGTCAACTGTACCAAAAGAGAAAACAAGGGGGGAAATTGCTCCGAGCGGCTCCTTGTACCGCATTACTCAGAGAATAGAATGCACTTAAATGCGGGAAGAAAACGCCGAAAAGCCAGTGAGGTCTTTTCAGAAGTCAGACAGCATCCCCTGCAACAGTATGGCTGGCACCATTTATCGGGGGCAGAGGTAGGGCAGGCACTGGAAATGAGTAACTGCTTAAGAAGCTGTTTACAGAACGAGCCTGGATCATCTGGATAATAATTCAGGCAGAGATATAGGAAGCAATACAAGAATAAGAAAAAATTCAAAAAACAATAAATGACTTGGTGACTAAGTTGTTATTTGAAACACCAGCCAACTAGGAGGTGTAAAGAAACACCTCTGGCGTGCAACCCTGAATTCCGGGTAAGAGGGGTTTTATCTGCTCACTCGCATGAGGCAGAAAGGAGGATCTAGCCAAGGCTCGGCTGCCCAGTCTGAGGAACAAACTAATTCTGGGGCATGGCCGGGCTGCTGGCTCCAAGCACAGAGCAAAGGGATGGAGCAGCTCCATCCCTCCCTTGTTCTGCCTGCATCCAGGAAAGGCTAATTTGCAGGCAGAGCATCAGGAAAGCACACTTCTGCCTCTTTCCTCCTGTGAAATGACTGGGGGCTGTCTGCTCACTGCCATCCACACACGTTATTACCTGTGGCAGAGCGCAAGCCAGGAATATTTCAGTAGCGTATGAGCAATGGAAGCAGTTAAGGCAAACGATACCGACTGCCGTAAGCAGAGTCTACACCAACTATTGCCATTACTAACCACGTTTGCTGATGTCTTAAGGATGCTGCCACGCAAGATGACCTTCCAGAAAACAAGCCAGACAACCCAAAGTTCTCCAGGCTAAGGACCGCTTCCCACACGGTGCCCCACAGAGCTCCCTGTGTGATATTTCTACAGCAATAAGTGTAAGAAAACAACCAAACCCATCAAGCTGTCCCTGATGGAGCATCAGCTCCTGGCCACTAAGGTGCATCATCCATAAGCAACAGCCAGTTTGATGCTGGCAGCATCACCCAGCACAACTATGACCATCACTCACACCAACCGTGGCCTGTAGGATTCCTGCAGGTGGGTGGGTAAGTAAAGAAGAGTTTAAGGAATAACAGGCAAACGTGCTTGAGGGCAGGCTACAAAAGACAGTGAGCAGAGCAAGATGGGGCAGCAGGAGGCGGGGAGGAAGGCAGGCCATGAGGTTCCGTGTGACCACGGACCTGACCCGGGGTGGTCCGACCATGGAGCGGTCCCGCCACGACCCATCCCGCTGGCACCAAGCAGGTGACGCTGCCCTACGCGAGGACACCCACACCTTCACACCCGCCAGGGAGGGGCGGGAGGAAGCGGGAGCCGGCGATCCGGCATCCCCCGGTTCCTCCTCCTCCTCCTCCCCCCAGGCCGAGCATCCCGCCCCGGGTAGCAGCTCAGCAGGCACTAGTACCGGCAGGGCAACGGAGGCACCGGGGGCCCCGGCAGCTGCCCGCAGCGATGCTCGCCCCGCCAGGCGGGAGGACGCACCCAGGCGCGGGC